CAGCCGCTCCTGAGAGCAGTCTGTGGGGAAGGGGAAGCGGAGACTGCCTGCGGAGGAAAAGTACACTCAGAAACACCCGGGAAACACACACACACTCACACACACACACACACAGGGGACCACATTCCCTCTGGCAGACACACACTGCTAAAGCAGCTGATAATCAGAGTTCTGGAGGATCAATAACTGACGCAGGATCATCAGAGACGCACCGGTGGTGAAGTGTGTGTGGACGGTGTGTGTGTGCAGTCCTGCTCTCTCCGCCTGCAGCTGCGCAGTGTACACTGATGAGGGCACGAGGTGGCGCAGATGCAGCTCTGAGACCCCGGCATCCAGAACCAGCTCCTGCGTGCAGAAACACACACATATTCTGCAGACAGCGCACAAACACACTCATGCACGCACACACACACACACACACACACACCTTCCTGTCCTGCTGGTCAGTGTAGTAGCTCAGCCTGTATCCGCTGATGGGAGATTCAGGTGGTCTCCATGACAACACTGCGCTGCGGGGGGTCACCTGTGTGGCCTTCAGGTCACGAGGACCATCCTCTGCCCGTCCAGCACCTGAACACACACACACACACACACACATCAGCACAAAACACACACTCACACACACAAACACACACACACACACACACACACTCACACACTGACCGCTGGTGGTGCTGAAGGCTGTGCTGCTGCTGGAGCTGCTCTGCCCCCCCCGCCGGCTGCTGATGCTGACGGTGTAACGGGTGGAGGAGTGGAGCGACTGCAGGTGATGCTGCGCTGCGTTCCCCGACACACTGATGGACACGGCAGAATCTCGAGCTTCAGGAGAACACACACACACACACACACACACACATGTAAAGCTCAGGTCACAGGTAAACACAGGATCTGCTGTTGATCAGTGCAGGTCAGAGGTCAAAGGTCGGCGGTGTGCTCACCTGCCTCAGGACTGTAGAGGATCCTGTAGTGGTCTACAGTGGCCAGAGCCGGTCTCCAGATCAGCAGAGCTTCACTGTCCGTCACATTGATGGCCTGCAGGTGTGTGGGAGCGTCCGGCACTGAACAACACACAGGTGAGGGAGAGAGAGAGAGAGAGAGATTATAGCCATGCTTAAACTAATGAGTCGTTAATTCAGTCTCAAGTTGATGATGAAGGTGATGATGAAGGTTATGTGAGGTGAAACCCTGATTAAAGGTACACAGAGCGACTGATGACTTTACTGATCCACTATTAATTCCTCAAAGTCATGAAACAGACAGAGGTATTCAGTCAGATTCATTGCATCTGGTGTGTCCTGCAGTCCCACACACACACACACACACTGTCCAGAGGGATGGAGCTGGTGGTCTTACGGGTGGTGACGGTGTCTGTGATGGGGTCACTCTCGTCCTGCCCGAGCACCGACACCACCCGCACCTCATATGTGGAGCCCGGAGCCCTGGAGGACACATCCAGACGCAGAGTTTCTGAGTCCACACTGACAGAGATGGGCTCACCTGCATCACACACACACACACACACACACACACACACACACACACACACACACACACACACACACACACACACACACACACACACACACACACAATTTGGTAAAATAAAAACCAATCATATGATATTATAACAGAGACAGCAGCAGACTGCATATCAATGCTCATAAACACTTTTATTTACATGTGGAAAAAAGCTTCAGCAGGAAAAACACGACAGAATCATAAAATCAACAAACCCATCCATCACAAATACTGCAGTGACTATAGTGAATACTGCAGTGACTATAGTGAATACTGCAGTGCTCTAGAACCCTACTACAGCACAGTACTTTCATCTGCTGTGGTGATTCTACTGTCGCTATGGCAACACAACTACTGTTGTATGGGTTTCATTTCAGAAAAGTTTTAGACTGTGAGAGTTAAAGCGGGTCAAGCGGGTAGTTCTGGTGTTCTGTTAGGGTTAGGGTTAGTGTGTTGTGCTCACCTTCCTGCACATGTGTGTGTGTGATCTTGAATCCAGACACTTTGCTCTTGGGTTTTTTCCAGGTGACGGTGAAGGAGCTGTCGGTCACATCACTGAACAGCAGAGCAGACGGAGGCTCCGGACCTGGAGGACCAACAGAACCCCAGATGAGGAGGAGGAGGAGGAAGAGAAAAGAAGGACAGATGCAGAAACAGCAGATCTCCTCAGAGACAGTCACACATGACGACAGTGGCAGACGACAGTGGCGCAGTGGGGTGTACTTGCATTCACGTCTGTGTGATCTGGCTGAAAGCATACAGTGTGTATTAGAGTGAGTGTATATATGTGCAGCCGGTCATATATACAGTATACAGGCCTCCGCCTATACAGAGCAGAAGCACAGCAGGGTTATGATGATGATGAGGCCGGTCTGTAACCTGCAGAACAGAAGAGAAATGAAGACCTCAGCACACGCTCAGCCTGACCACAGAAGAAGAGCAGAGCTCAGTACACACTGCAGTCTCTGGAGGAGCACTCACACACGGCACATCTACAGCTCTGGTGAGATTAGACTGAAGTGTTTAGATGTCAGTGTCAGTCTTCAGCATATCTGTCTAGTCTAGAGCGTCCACTGACATCCTCCACATCCAGCAGGTATAACCCTGATGCTCTTCACCAAATCTCCTGACCAATCAAATGCTCTCTAGGATCTGCCCCACCCCCTTCTTCTCATTGGCTGTTGTTTTGCCAGGGTTAATGTTAGTTCTGAACAGACACACACATGATGGAGAGGATGTTAATGTGGAACAGAGAACTCTTGGTGGAAACACACACTGACAGACACAGCACTGCAGACCCGGACACACACCAGCGGCAGCAGCGGCGGCGGCGGCGCACACGTCTGCAAACCGTCTGATTCATCTCACTGTCGCGTCATTTAGCATGTGCTGCTCAGTATGATGCACGAACACGTGACACAAATGCACAGTGTTAGCAGCGACCACAGCGGCGTTACAGCCACACATTCACTGACATGAACACACTGCGCTTTAATCAAATCTTCAGGGAAGTGTTGATTAAAAGGCTTGAAGGGGAGGAGAACACTGAACAACACGCAAAGCAGGAGAGCCGACGGGCCGAGCAGAACAGCCGGAGATCTCCAGGAAACTACAGTAAACACCACAGCGTCTGCGTGTGTACCTGCGTGCAGGATCAGGTTGTGTGTTGTGGAGTGAAACGCAGGATCTTTCCCAGAGGTGGACAGTGAGTGTGAGTGACCCGATGCGGGTGGTTCTGCGGCCATCTGTGTGTGTGGTCCAGCCGACCCAAACACTGCACTGGTCCCACTGCCCCGTCCTGCGGCCGTCTCCAGTCCATCCTCATCTTCATCATCTTCATCATCATCTCTGGTTTCCAGCTCAGGTTGTGTGATTGTGAAGGGTCTGAACTGTTCTTTTGGAGCGGTCCACTCATGCTCGGACCTTGCAGATGTCTGATTACTGACCTCCACATGCTGCTTGGAGCTGCTCAGCTCATATTTCTGCGTATTGTTATGATTCACCATGCGCTGGTCAGTGTCAGCAGAAGCCCCAGAGTCTCGGTTTGGACCGTTATGGAGCTGCAGTGTGTTCCTCAGTCTGGACCCAGTGTGTCCCGCTAGGGGAGGCACTCTGTGCCGGAGCCTGATCATGGGTCTGGAGGGAGGAGCCGGTCTGCGGGTTTGAGCTGAATCTAGAGCCAGTCTGCGGGTCTGATCGGGACCTAAAGCCAGTCTGTTGTCCTGAACTGGATCTAGAGCCACTCTGTGGATCTGAGCTGGATCCGGAGTCAGTGTGCGAGCTTTAGCTGGACCTAGAGCAGGTCTGCGGGTCTGATTAGGGTCTAGAGCCGGTCTGGTGTGGTTCTGTAAAGCACTGATGTGAGGACGGCGCAGACGCCTGTACGGTGTGTTCTGGTGCGGCATCAGCTCACTTCTGTTCCTCATCTGGAATCTGGCTGCTGATGTAGGCGAGTCCTTGGATTGTGCTGTGGTGTTCATCTCTGTAGACGAGGAAGCAGAAGAGGAAGAGGAAGAGGAAGAGGAAGGCGTCCTCAAGCGCGATACATCTGTGGATGCTGGAAACGATGATCCGGCAGGTTTGGGCCTAGCTTGTGTTCTGGAGGCAGGTAAAGAGGACCAGACAGTGTTTCTCCATGTTGGTCTGGATCCCGTCGGCTGATCTCCTACCTGACGGATGCCCTGCGGGACAGGAGATGCGCTGGTGTCGGGCTGCTGATCTGCGCTCTCTGGTCCTGTGGAAAAGAGAGTTTTCTTCATTATCTGCTCATTCTGTCCATCATTCACTCTGCCCCGGGCCTCAGAATCCACCACTTTATTCTGCTCCTGGTTCAGTGTGTGTAGAAGGTCATTCCCGTTCACATGGCCGACCACGACTGTCATGTTTTTAGACAGTAAACTGCCATCTGTTGTATTTCCGGTGATCCTCTTATACCCGACCAGAACCTTGCGGACACAGCGGGTGCCATTGATGAGGGCGGTGAGGTTTCTCTCTGTGGTGACTGTCGGCTCCTCTCGGGGTGCACTGGTGTGTGTGACGGGCAGAGAAGTGGCAGACGGGTTCTGAGTGTGTGTCGGAACACTGATGGACGGGTCTCGAGTGTGTGTCTGAGCATTGGCTGACGGGTCTCGAGTGTGTGTCTGAGCAATGTTGGACGGGTCTCGAGTGTGTGTCTGAGCACTGGCTGACGGGTCTCGAGTGTGTGTCTGAGCAATGGCTGGACGGGTCTCGAGTGTGTGTCTGAGCACTGGCTGACGGGTCTCGAGTGTGTGTCTGAGCACTGGCTGACGGGTCTCGAGTGTGTGTCTGAGCAATGTTGGACGGGTCTCGAGTGTGTGTCTGAGCAATGTTGGACGGGTCTCGAGTGTGTGTCTGAGCAATGTTGGACGGGTCTCGAGTGTGTGTCTGAGCAATGTTGGACGGGTCTCGAGTGTGTGTCTGAGCACTGGCTGACGGGTCTCGAGTGTGTGTCTGAGCAATGGCTGACGGGTCTCGAGTGTGTGTCTGAGCACTGGCTGACGGGTCTCGAGTGTGTGTCTGAGCAATGTTGGACGGGTCTCGAGTGTGTGTCTGAGCAATGTTGGACGGGTCTCGAGTGTGTGTCTGAGCACTGTTGGACGGGTCTCGAGTGTGTGTCTGAGCAATGTTGGACGGGTCTCGAGTGTGTGTCTGAGCAATGTTGGACGGGTCTCGAGTGTGTGTCTGAGCACTGGCTGACGGGTCTCGAGTGTGTGTCTGAGCAATGGCTGACGGGTCTCGAGTGTGTGTCTGAGCACTGGCTGACGGGTCTCGAGTGTGTGTCTGAGCAATGTTGGACGGGTCTCGAGTGTGTGTCTGAGCAATGGTTGACGGGTCTCGAGTGTGTGTCTGAGCAATGTTGGACGGGTCTCGAGTGTGTGTCTGAGCATTGGCTGACGGGTCTCGAGTGTGTGTCTGCGCAATGGCTGACGGGTCTCGAGTGTGTGTCTGAGCAATGTTGGACGGGTCTCGAGTGTGTGTCTGAGCATTGGCTGACGGGTCTCGAGTGTGTGTCTGCGCAATGGCTGACGGGTCTCGAGTGTGTGTCTGAGCAATGTTGGACGGGTCTCGAGTGTGTGTCTGAGCAATGTTGGACGGGTCTCGAGTGTCTACTGATTCCCTGGTTAAGCTGATATCATTGTTTTCCTGCTGGGATGGCGTCTCCTTCACAGTCAGGGCCAGTGGTTTAGGATCAGGATACTCTGCATTAGAGTCTACATTAGTGAGATCCCCCACTGTTGATGTGTTTGTGGAAGGAGCAGTGATTTGTCTTTTGACTCCTGTCTGTAAGGAAGTGAAGTGTTTAATTTCTGGATTGAAAGGTCTTCTCATCATCCCATGTGTCCCCGTATGCAGAGGTCTCTTTAGTCCGGGTCTGAACATGCCTGGTTTGAGTCTGCTGAAGTTTCCTGAGTGTTGAACCCTTGTGTTGGCCATCAGACCCCGGTGCTGCAGAAACGTTGAGTTAGTGAACGGTGGAGTCCTCTCTCTGCTGTTTCCAGACACTGGAGCTCTCCCTACAACACCAATGAGGATTAAAACATGCATTCAAAGTTAACTTCACTCTCAGGGGCTCAGCTGAGGAGAAAATCCTGCTAATAAAGAGACAGCGTTAATGCAGAAGATTAGGTCAGATATGTAGACAGATCTGCCACTCGACAGTAGAGGAGTGTGGAGTCGACAGTAAATGTGACATCAGTGGTTTTGGACCTGGTTTGGTTCAAGAGAAAACTGGAGAAAAAGGCAAAAGCTTCCTGAGAGAATTGAACATTTGGCATTGTTAGATAAAGTGTGTGTGTTTTGGCACTAGTGTGTGTGTGTGTGTGTGTGTGTGTGTGTGTGTTTTGGCACTAGTATCCCACTCTTCATAAACACAACAAAGGCATCACAATCACAACTAACCACATGTTGAGCTCAGAGTAAGTTTGAGTCTGTGTGTTCTGATGGTTTTAGTGTTCAGTGTTTGTTTATCCAGCGCTGGACTCACCAGGAGTGGCCTGAGCTCTGGCCGGCAGGCTCCGGGTCGAGCCCTGCTCTGCCATCACCGATACCTCATACAGGCGGCCCGCGTGCAGACCCTCAATCTGGGCGGAGTCTCTCTCCGGGGGGAGGGACATCTCCCGGGGTCCGCTCGATCCATCTGTCTGATTGGGTGCAACAGAGAGGACATACCTATCAATCTCCCCCTGCGCCTTCTCCCATTGGACGATGACGGAGGTGGTGCTCGTCTTCACCACCCGCAGGTTTCTGGGCCCTGAGATCACTGTGGAGAAATAAAGCAGCAGATGTCAGAAACCCCCAGAACACAGAGTGATTCTGCAGTCCGACAGACTCACGGGTAGTGAACTGCGCTGCGCTCTCCGCTCCCATCACGCCGTCTTTCTCTCCAGTGACGGTGACCGTATACTCCTGTCCGGCGGCCAGGCCCGTCTGCGTGTAGGAGCTCAGTCTGCCGCTGATCCGGGAGCTTATTTTCTGCTCCGTTTCCTTCTGTAGACGGAGAATCAGTGAAAACCAGTACACACCATTACTGTCTGGAGGACAATCAGGAGATCTTCAGTGTTTCACACATTTATACCAGCAACTGGCGTCACATTTGCAGAATAACTTCATCAGTAAAATAAAAATGTGTCCACAGGAGACCTCCGGCACTGTGAAACCCAACTCAATATTGCTGGAACAGACCTTCCTGTTCACACCTGATGCCTACAGTAATGCGCCCAGCATCAGTGAAACACTGTAAGTGTGAAGAGTCTTTAACATCTCCACCCTGATTGGTGCTGCTGCTGATTAAAGATGTCATGTAACTGCGTGTCCAGTGAGCAGGTTTGGAGATTTCAGGTCTTGAATGAGCAAATATGGCCGCTGACTGTTTCTCCTTAAAGGGGACTTTACTTTGGTAGCCCACAGAAGAACTAAAGCCCCGGCCACATCTGCCATGATCCAGAAGCAGACCCGGCCTAGTACAGGAGAAAGCTCTAGATCAGGGGTGTCCAAACTCCCCTGGAGGGCCGGTGTCCTGCATAGTTTAGCTCCAACTTCCTTCAACACACCTGCCTGGAAGTTTCTAGTATAGCATAGAAGAGCTGGATCAGGTGTATTTAATTGGGGTTGGGGCTAAAATATGCAGAATACCGGCCCTGCAGGACTGAGTTTGGACACCCCTGCTCTAGATCTGTGGTGAAACCCATCAGAGCTCACTCACAGGTTCTCCACTACAGCTGATGGACTGGAGCCGCTCTGCTCTTCACTGCTGCTGGTCTGTCTGAATGCTGCTTCTCATAAGAGCTGATCTGGGAGCAGTGATGTGCTGTTGTGTCCTGCCGTCTCCAGCGTGTGGCGCCGCAGCTGTTCTGAGGTCATCTCTCTGGCCGGCGAGTGTTTTTGACCATGTTTACTCCAGCCATGGAAACCAGCGTCCACATCTGTGTCTGCTTCTGCATTTCCTCTCTGCGTCTCCAGTGCACACACACACACACACACACACACACACACACACACACACACACACACACACACACTCCTCCATTGATGCTCTCTGTGTAAGTGTGTTAGGGTTTTGGTGTGTGTTTCTCTGCATATGTGTGTGTGTGTGTGTGTGTGTGTGTGTGTGTGCGCTCTTGACAGTGTTTGCCTGTGTGTTCAGTGCGCTCGTGAACATGTGAGCTGTCTGTAGGCCAGTGTAATGTCTGCTTTACAGCTGAAGGTGCGGTTGCTGATCTCTGTTCAGTCAGAAATGCGCAGTTTCTCACAGTTTTCTTCAGTTTGTCGATGGTTTCTCTCAGTTTCTCCTGATGTTCAGTGATGTGTGGGATCTGAGAGAGCTCCTGACTGGATAAATGTGCTACTGAGCATCACTGGAGGAACATTTGCCTGATCTGTGCTAGTATAAATCAACCAGACTAAAGCAGAATATTCCCATCATTTCCACTTCAGATGATTTATTTTAATTGTGTAACGCGTCACTGAAGGGTTCTGAACGCTTCAGCTTCAGGAGATGAGCAACAGCAGATGATGGACTGACATTATGATGACTGCAGATGAGGAACAGATTGATGATTCTGGATCTGAGCCGGCGTTCCAGCCCACCGAGGTCAGCAGCTGCGACACAACAACTCAACCATTGTGCTTTAGTTCATATCAGCTAGTTAAAGTCAAACTCAACACCTCACCAAGACACGGATTCATCATGAGGCATCAAAGTGTTGCATATTTACATGTGTACACAAACCCAATCAACCGAGATTACAGTTCTGCACCATAGATATTATATCAAATATTGTTTAATAAAATGAAATGAAATGATGAATGCACATATCATAATATAATAAATCATATTAAAATATAATAACAAAACATATGAAGAAAATATAAAATAATAGTAATATTGCATTAATATTTATAAGTGGACCAGTAGATCACCAGACATCCTCTACAATACTGCAACTCAAGACACCTTTTGTGATGTCTGCTATTAATAATATTAATAATAATAATTATATTAATAATAATAGTGGGCAGCATGGTGGCTCAGTGGTTATCACTGTGGGCTCACAGCAAGAAGGTCGCTGGTTCGAGTCTCGGCTGGGTCAGTTGGTGTTTCTGTGTGGAGTTTGCATGTTCTTCCCGTGTTGGCGTGGGTTTCCTCCAGGTGCTCCGGTTTCCCCCACAGTCCAAACACATGCGCTATAGGGGAACTGATCAACTACACTGGCCGTAGTGTATGAGTGTGTGTGAATAAGTAAGTGTGTATGGGTGTTTCCCAGTACTGGGTTGCAGCTAGAAGAGCATGCGCTGCACATAACACATGCTGGAATAGTTGTCGGTTCATTCTGCTGTGGGGACCTCTGATTAATAAAGGGACTGGGCTGTAAAGTAAATGAATGAATGTTTGTGGTGAAGGACCGTCTGGATCCGTCTGTTGTATCTCCTCCGTCTCCAGCTCTGCAGTGGGTCTGTCTGATTATATCTGATTATATCTGATCTGCTTGTTGGGCTTTTAATCCCTGTAGGAAGCTGAGCGAGAGCTGCAGATCAGGCTGAAGCGCTCCACATACTGATGCATGCAAAAATAAGAGTTTCAGCATGTGGGATTACAGCAACATCACGGATCACTCCTGAAGCGTGCGATGATCCGTCTCTCGCTGACAGAGCTTACATCAGCAGCAGATTGATCACATGTGTGTGTGTGTGTGTGTGTGTGTGTGTGTGTGTGTGTGTGTGTGTATGCACAATTAGTGACAGAAACAGGCCATCAAACTGAGCTCAGACACCAGTGGAGCACTCAACTGTAAAGCAGTCACTGCTGTTCTGCCTATGGATATCTGAGATATAATAGTTTGGGCTGTTTGATCTTGTCTGATGTAGAGAATAATCTTCATTTTGATTTAATGTTTTAGGTAATGTTCTTCAGCAGAAGACGCTGCTCACGGGTCATCTTTGGTCTTCATATATTGTCTTGATTTGTTGGTGTTTCAGTGTGATTATTGATCAGCTGAGCCGGTCAGTGCTGTAGGATAATTAACCTGTTAGAGCTGGACTAGTGTTAGACATGATGATGATGAAGAAGAAGATGATGTTGCCTTAGTTCACAGTTTAGTTCCAGCCCTGCTCCAACACACTGACCTGTAGGTTTCAAACAAGCCTGAAGGACTCTATTAGTCTGATCAGGAGGGTTTAATCAGGGTGAAAGCACACCAGAGGAGAGTCCACACGTGTCTGTAGCTGAGCTCTAGTGTTTATCCTCATGTCTACAGTAAACACTACAGTACAGGAGCCGCACACACACACACACACACACACACACACACACACACACACACACACACACACACACACACACACACACACACACACACACACACACACACACACACACACATACAGTACAGCTCTGATGTGGAGAAATGATGTCCTCAGTGGAGAGTGTGTGTGTATGTGTGTGTGTGTGTGCATGTGTGTGTGTGCAAACGGGCACAGAGGACTGTGAATCAAGCACAGGCTTCAGTCCAGAGCACACATTTTCTTTTTCCATGGGCAGATTGGGTTCATTTTACGCCGGTGTAAAAATTCATTTATTGTTCCATCGGAAAACACTCAGACAGACGTCAGCTGGAGCAGCCGGAGGAGTCTAGAACACTGCTGGAGCCGACACCATCCCAACCACACCACACGACTGATAATATACACGAGGCTTAATAAACTCTGCAGATTTAGGCTGATCAACAACAGAGGATGTGATGGATTTACAGGTACATTTCATGCAATAATGTGTGTGTGTGTGTGTGTGTGTACTCACGCTGCTGCTGAAGCTGATGTGGTAGGTGTCATAGAGCAGCGGCGGCGGCGTCCAGAACACTGTCACTGAAGACTCGCTGATGTCTCGAGTGCTGAGACGCGAAACACCCATCAGTGCTGGATACACACACACACACACACACACACACACACACACGCTGATTATTATGAGACGGGCCTGTAACAGTAGCAGGTGTCTCAGGTGCAGTAATGGCGTGTACAGTCAGACTCACGGGTGTCGCAGTTCTCCCCGCTGAAGCCCGGCTGGCACTGGCTGCAGTCGGGCCCTGTGAAGCCGCGTCGGCACACGCAGCGGCCCCGCACACACCGGCCCCTGTTACTGCAGCTGTTGGGGCAGCTCTTGCTGGAGCAGTCGGGCCCCGAGAAGCCGGAGTCACACACACACAGCCCGTCCACACAACGGCCCCTGTCATTACAGTCATCTGGACACGCTTTAACAGAGCAGTCGGGCCCCGTGAAGCCGGAGTCACACACACACCTGCCCTCCACACAGCGGCCCTGCTCACTGCAGCCGTCTGGACACGCATCAGTCGAGGGCCGAACAGTGGAGCAGACAGAACCTGTGCAGGAGAGGAGCACAGCGTCACACACACACACACACATACACACATGACAACTACACACACCTGTCAAATACACACACACACACAAGATTAAAAATATAATGCGTACTGTGTTTTATGTAAGTGTGTGTGTGTGTGTGTGTGTGTGTGTGTGTGTGTGTGCTGAACTGAGTAACACATCACGCTCTGCTGTGGCTCCAGACAGTGTGTTTAGTGAATATGTGTGTGTGTGTGTGTGTGTGTGTTTAGTGAATATGTGTGTGTGTGTGTGTGTGTGTGTGTGTGTGTGTGTGTGTGTGTGTGTGTGTGAGTGCACATATGCAGGACGCTGCAGGAGTCTGAGAGCCGAGTCTGCTGGATTTCCTACAGCATTAGTATAATCCACAACAACGCAAACGAGACCAAACAAGGACGCTTTCTGAATCCTCTGAGAACTGAACTGGAGACATCTGGAGCCCTTCTCTGAAAGCAGACCGAGAAAGAGTTTTATACACATATATACACTCACCGGCCACTTTATTAGGTACACCTCACTAGTACCGGGTTGGACCCCTTTAGTCTTCAGATCTGCCTTAATCCTTCATGGCAGAGATTCAGCAAGCTGCTGGAAATATTCCTCCATATTTTGCTCCATATTGTCATTATAGCATCACACAGTTGCTGCAGATTTGTCGGCTGCACATCCATGATGCCAATCTCCCGTTCCACCACATCCCAAAGCTGCTCTATTGGATTGAGCTCTGGGGACTATGTAGGCCGTTTGAGTACAGTGAACTCATCGTCATGTTCAAGACACCAGTCTGAGATGATTGAGCTTTATGACATGCTGCGTTATCCTGCTGGAAGTAGCCATCAGAAGATGGAGACACTGTGCTCATAAAGGGATGGACATGGTCAGCAGCAATACTCAGGTAGGCTGTGGCGTTGATGCTCAATTGGTACTAATGGACCCGAAGAAAATCTCCCCCACACCATTACACCACCACCACCAGCCTGAACCGCTGATACAAGGCAGGATGATCCATGCTTTCATGTTGTTGAGGCCAAATTGTGAGCCGAGCATCCGAATGTGTCAGCAGAAATGGAGACTCATCAGAGCAGCAACGTTTCTCCAATCTTCTATTGTCCAGTTTTGGTGAGTCTGTGTGAATTGTAGCCTCAGTTTCCTGTTCTTAGCTGACAGGAGCGGCACCCGGTGTGCTCTTCTGCTGCTGTAGCCCATCCGCCTCAAGGTTGGCCGTGTTGTGTGTTCAGAGATGCTCTTCTGCAGAGCTCGGTTGTAACGAGTGCTTATTTGAGTTACTGTTGCCTTTCTATCAGCTGGAACCAGTCTGGCCATTCTCCTCTGACCTCTGACCTCATCAACAAGGCATTTGCGCCCACAGAACTGCCGCTCACTGGATATTTCCTCTATGTCGGAGCATTCTCTGTAAAGCCTAGAGATGGTTGTGCGTGAAAATCCCAGTAGATCAGCAGTTTCTGAAATACTCAGAGCAGCCCGTCTGGCAGCAACAACCATGCCACGATCAAAGTCTCTTAAATCCCCTTTCTTCCCCATTCTGATGCTCGCTTTAAACTGCAGCAGATCCTCTTGACCATGTCTATATGCCTAAATGCATTGAGCTGCTGCCCTGTGATTGGCTGATTAGAGAAGTGTGTTAACCAGCAGTTGGACAGCTGTACCTAATAAAGTGGCCGGTGAGTGTATATGTATATGCCATTGCTCTGCTAGGACCTGCAGCACCCCTCAGACAGAATGTGTGTGTGTGTGTGTGTGTGTTCACCTCTGCTCTGCTGGCTCCCGCAGCACCCCTCTGCTCCTCCACATCTCTCCCTCAGCTCTGACACCTGTCTCTCCAGCTGCTCCATGCGCTCCTGCAGCCCCGTCAGCTCCCCCCCACACTGAGCACAGGCGGCCCCGGGGCCCGACAGCAGGCGGATGCGATGGGTCAGCACTAGTGGAGAGTCGGGCTCCAGGTCCAGCAGGGTCTCCCGGGGGCGGAGCTGTGCACAGCTGTCAGTGATGCGCACCTGCACAGGTGTATCAGTGAGGAGCTGCCCTGGGGTCAGCAGAGCGATCAGCAGCAGCAGCAACACCTGCGCCATCTTCACCTGCAAACAACACACACTGACCTCAGATCAGCTCAGGGAGGATGTCCTGCAGTGTGCTTGTGCTCAGTGTCATCATCACTGCAGATTATTCACACTGCTGTCAGATGAGAACTGCTGCACAGACCTCTCCAGATGATGACGAGCGCATTAACAACATCACAGAGTTCACTATCGGGAGAGTCTCATTGCTTTTGTTAAAGTAAGATACACACACACACACACGCGCGCACACACACACACAATATTTGCCCTCAGAATATTTAATCAGACATCATCAGCGTTTCTTCACCCTCCCAATCACTTCCTCTACTTCTGAACACATGGAACATGGGCGGAGCTATCAGCCATTTAGGGTGGGGTATCAGTGCTTTAGGGCACTGTTATTTCTCAATTAGGGCGGGGCTTTTAGTCTTTTTTGTCAAATAGGGTGGGGCTACTAGTCTTTTATGGCGGTATCTGTCAATTAGGGCGGGGCTACTAGTCTTTTCTGTCAAATAGGGTGGGGCTAGTAGTCTCATAAGGCGGTGTTATCAGTCAATTAGGGCGGAGCTATTAGTCTTTTAAGGCGGGGCTACTAGTCTTTTAAGGTGGTGTTATCAGTCAATTAGGGCGGGGCTACTAGTCTTTTGAGGTGGTGTTATCAGTCAATTAGGGCGGGGCTACAAGTCTTTTAAGGCGGTGTTATCAGTCAATTAGGGCGGAGCTATTAGTCTTTTAAGGCAGTGTTATCAATCAATTTGGGCGGGGCTACTTGTCTTTTCTGCCAAATAGGGCGGGACTACTAGTCTTTTAAGGCGGTGTTATCAGTCAATTAGGGTGGGGCTACTAGTCTTTTAAGGCAGTGTTATCAGTCCTTTAGGGCGGGGCTACTAGTCTTTTAAGGCAGTGTTATCAGTCAATTAGGGCGGGGCTACAAGTCTTTTAAGGCGGTGTTATCAGTTAATTGGGGTGGGGCTACTAGTCTTTTCTGTCAAATAGGGCGGGGCTACTA